CTAGTCAAGAGGCAAGTGATTGTCATAGGTTCCCCAGAAAAGGGCAGGAACATTGGAAGAAGGTAGAAGTTTCTAGGAGGCTGAGATGAACCTTGTGAGAAAAAATTCTGTCAGGTAGAAATGGGGCTGGGGTTCAGAGGAGGTGGCACTTCAGGGACCAGAACAGCTGGAGCAGAGGCACGGAAGGAAACGTGGTCAGGTTGAGAGATGGGCAACTCTGAATTTGGCCAGGGCATCTTTGGGTTGGGTGAACTTGGGAACACTTTCACCGCTCTGCCCAATCTCCAACTCTCTGCCAAAAAGAAAAGGCCCTCCAAAACCAAAACCAGACCAACTCCCAAAAAAGCCAAGCAGCAGACACAGGAGAATGTGGAGGGAAAAGCTCTCACTCTGGAGTCATATGTTGACACCGGACTCTTTTGCTATAAAGACTTGCAACCCACAGTGCCTGGGTGGCTCAGTTTGTTAAGCATGTCTCTCTCTCTCTCTCTTAAATAAAGTTTATTTATTTATTTTGAGAGAGAGAGCATGAGCGGAGGAAGGGCAGAGAGAGAGGGAGAGAGAGAATCCCAAGAAAGCTCCGCACTGTCAGCATGGAAACTGATGTGGGGCTTGAACTCATGAACGGTGAGATCATGACCTGAGTTAAAATCAAGAGTTGGACGCCTAACCAGCTGAGCCACTCAGGGGTCCCAAAGTGTCTGACTCTTGACTTTGGCTCAGGTCATGATCTTGCAGTTTGTGGGTTCAAGTCCTGTGTCAGGCTCTGCAGTGACAGTGAGGACCCTGTTTGTGATTCTCTGTCTCCCTCTCTCTCTTGCAATAAATAAATGAACTTAAAAAAAGACTTGTAATGTAGACAAGTACCTCAACTTTTCTGAGCCTCAGTTTCTAAAGCTGTAAGAGAATACTTACCTCATATGGCAGATGTGGAAGGATGAAGTAAGACCTAGGCAGAGAGGTTAGCTGGTGCTCAATAAACACGAATTCTCTCAGCCCCCATAATAACACAAGTCTCTGGCTGTCTCAGCTGTGTTAAAGGGACAGTGAAGGCCCAGAACTGAGTCACCTTTGCTCCCTCCTACACGAGCCCCTCTGGGGATGCTGGGCATTGTCTGTTTGTGGAGTTCTGGCTTTGCTTGTTTCTTCTGGAACACCTCCTCATGAAGTGGGGAGCCAGGACCTGCTCACTGGAGGACAGGTGCATACGTGTCTGTACTTGCTAACAGAAACTGCACCGAGCTGACCCTACTTCCTCCCTCTGTTTCTTACCCAACATTTCTCACAGGCTCCTCCATTTCCAAGCCTAAAAAAGGGCTCCTTTTCTCGCCTAGATTCTCCCATTGTCAAGTTAAGCACAAGCAGCTTCCAGTTCCTCTGCTGTCCTGGTACACAAGTCCAGGCAGACTCTGGACCCCTTGACCTTACTCCAAGCTGGCCGGCCCAGTTCTAAGCACCCTGAGGCACCTTGGTATAGCAGGCAGTGGCATTCACCCAGAGAAGGGCCAGCCTATTCCTGTCCTTAACCCCTGCTCAGGGCGGATTCCGTCTCTGCAGCTCAACATGAGCTTAACATGGGCCAGGTAGCCTGGTCAGACAGGAAGCCCCAAGGCTCTGTGAAGGTCCCTGGGCAAGGGTACTCCGAGTTGAGTGTGGAGTGGGATGGCTAGCTGAGGTATATGTCAGGGAGGGATTGCGGCTGAGATGAGCAAGGGAGCCCCTGGATACCTGGAGGCAGGAACTAAGAGATGAGGTTTTGCAGGGAAAGGCAGGGAGAATGTTGTGACACTCCCAGGAAGGTGAAACCTGAAAGGAACTAGAGTTGTGTGTGGCCTAGGGGGCAGCCTGGCTACGCTGACCCTTCCTGCTTCTTTGAGTCCCCACCCTGGGTCTCCCCGTGGAAATCTAATTGTCTCACGATGGTAACTGAAAGCACTTTGAGAGCCAGACCTCGGCATTACAGGCCTGCCTATACCCATCTGCCCTTCCCTGCCCAGGGCAGGGTACGGACGAGGCTGCAACCGACACCAGCTGACTGGGAGATGGAAGGGCAGGGAGAAGACTCAGCACAGGACCCAGGGAGAGGGCAGCGGAGGATGGGCCATAGGGGTAGGAGGAGTAGGGAAGGATGGGGGGAGGGGCCTGAGAGGGCATAGGCAGAAGGGACCAGGAGAGGGGCTTTGTGGCGGGGTAGACCAACCAAGGGGGTGAGGACCAGGGACCAGATGGGATGGGGGGCAGGCTGCAATGAAGCAATTTCTGAGGTCACTGTGGGGGCTCTGCCCAGGGATGGGGAGGCCAAGGAGCAGAAGGAGCTCAGGAAATGTCTCAGAGAGTATCAAGGCCTTTGAGTAGGATAAGGTGGGTAGGAGCCAGGAAGAGGGAGGAAAAAGTGCAGGCCTGGGCCCAAGCACCTCATCTTGATTTGTCCATTGAGCTTGGGCTCCTGTGGGGCCCTCATGTGGGCTTTCCTTTTCCCTTGCCTGAGTCCCCACCCCACTCTCACTCATATCATCCAAAGGGGCCTTCAGGGGCTGATGGGAACTCCTCAGGGGCTTGTCCTGAAAGCTGGAATCCACCCCTCGGTCCAGCCCTTGCTGGAGGAGGTCTCTGGCCAGTATTACTTCCTTCCAGTTTTCTAGTTGCTTCTTCCTGTATTTTCAGGGTACTCTGGACTGTTCCCACAAACTTTTGTTTGTTTGTTCTCACAAACTTAACGAGTCTTCCCTGGTGCCTGGCATGGTGCTGGGAAGAGGGTGGGCGTTAAATAAACTTCTTTTGAATGAACATTGATCACCCCCAACATCCTGAGACTCTCTGCTATTAAGTTTCCTAGATCTTGTCTCTTCTACCTCTGATCAAAACTCACTGTCCATGTTTCATTCCCTCAGAGCTCTGTACTCTATTGCTTACGTTTCCAAGAGTAACTAGTGCTTGTTGGAGAGAAGCAGGGTCGTGTTCTAGAAAGAACACTGTGCCCTCTGGTTTCGGGGGATGCCAGGACTGAGGTCTAACTTCACACAGTGTGGACCCTTGGGGCCTCAGTTCACTCACTTCCTCCAGTCAGTGGAAGGTCTACATGACTTCTGCGGCCTTCCCGGGCTGAAGCGGAAGTCCTCTGTGGGCCAGGGCCTGGTTTGTCATATGCTCTGAGCCCCCAAAGCCAAAAATGGTGACTGGTGCAGAGCGTGTTCTTAAGTATTTGTTGAGAGAAGGAACTGACAATTTTGATGGCTACCTATTGCCTGACTATTATAGATGTTATTTCATTTCATTCCCAGAGTGATGGAGTCAAAATTTATTTGTACATTTGCATGACTCTGAAGTCCATATTCTTCCCATAATACCTCGCGGCCTTTAGAAGACAATGCCATCATGCAGGATTTGTTCTAATGATGGCTGTGGAAGGCTGCAGGAGATCTGGAGGCCCTTATTCATATTATAGCACATAGGCAATGCCTCTGCCCCTCACCGGCCTTAGAAGATTATAGGAACTTAGAGTGGTAAGTGGAAGAGGCTGAGAGGGTGGTGAGGATATCGGATCACTGTCATCTAAATGGGGTGCTTGCAGGGCATCTAGGTGGCTCAGTTGGTTAGGTGACCAACTTCGGCTCAGGTTGTGATCTCACAGTTCATGAGTTCGAGCCCCACATCAGGCTCACGGCTGTCAGTGTGGAGCCTACTTTGGATCCTCTGTCCTCACCTCTCTCTGCACCTCCCCTGCTCACACTTTCTGTCAAAAATAAATAAATATTGGGGTGCCTGGGTGGCTCAGTCGGTTAAGTGTCTGACTTCGGGTCAGGTCATGATCTCGTGGTTCGTGGGTTAGAGCCCCACATCAGGCTCTGTGCTGATAGATAGCTCAGAGCCTGGAGCTTGTTTCAGGTTTTGTGTCTCCCTCTCTCTCTGACCCTCCCCTGCTCACGCTGTCTCTCTCTCAGAAGTAAATAAAACATTTAAAACATTTTTAAAAAAATAAATAAACATTTAAAAAAATACTAGATGGGGTGTGCGGTTAGTTCCAGTCATGTTCTAAGCCAGCTTTCTAAATAAATAAATAAATAAATAAATAAAGCCCTGATTAGTAGCATTTGTTAGTTTCTACGGCATATACACTCTTGTCTAAATTCAAGCAACAAATATGAAGTCACCACTGACTGACTGCAGAGCTAGAAGAGAAGCATATAGTCAGCTCTTTCACAAGCTAGTGAGCCGCCCTAGCACACAACTGGAACCGCAAGCAGTGCTGTCCCCAGAAAGCCACAGGAAGGTCACGGCTTCTGCACATGCTATGGGCAGCTTTGGGAAACGTCAGCCCTCACTTTGCCGTTTTCAAAGATTAGAAAGACTAGACTGACAGCAGCTGTCTCATCACGTTGATGGCCATCTAGGCTGCTGCTGGGAAGGCACCCTCAGAATGGCCTGGGCTCCGCTTTGGAACACACCCCCTGCTGCCTTGACTCAGGCTGGGACAGCCCCTGGAGCAGGCAAGGCAGCCCTGTAGGGCTCTTGCAGTCGATTCTGCAGGAAGCTCTTCAGGTGGAACCACCCTGAGAGGAAGGATGAGTGTGTTGGTGCCATCAGCCTCTGCCTCTCACTTGGATTTGGCCAGTACTTTCCTCCCAAATTCCAGGAAATCACAAACACCAAGGAATCTGCTCTTGCCGTCCCGAGATCAGGCCCAGCTAGAAGGCAGCAGGCATCCCTAAAGAGACGGTGGAATGAAAGGGTGGGAAAGTACTGAGAGACAGGCGTGTGCCGGCTTCTGGTAGTGGAGGGACCCTGCTCCCCAGCTGAGGTGCGGAAATGGGCTTTGCAGCTGAAGAACAGGCGCCCCTGAGCTGGGCTGCTCTAGAGGGAAGAGCAGGAAGAGATGTGGAGGAAAGGGGCTTTGTCCTGGCAACGGAGCTCCCTGAGGACCTAACCATCTTGCATGTCTTGGAGTCTTTCTCTCAAGTACTTAACACTTGCTGAGCACAAATAGAATCAGCAGTCAAAAATTCGTTCAAAAAGAAATGGGACTTTTATTAGTCTGCGAAGTGTGTGTCAATACTAAGGTAAAAAGTAAAATATAGGGGCAAGTAAAATTAAGGCATCAGGAAGGATCGAAGGGCCCCTAGGGCTCACCCAGGACATATACTGGAGGCCTTCTCTTCATATCAAGGGTATAATGTAGGCAGGAGAGGCTGTCTTGTTTCACGGAGTCAGGCCCCACCACCTAGCCCAAGGGAGAACAGTTGTGATGTAAGGCCAGGAGGGTTAGAATTTGCTAGCATAGAGGGTCATAATCCACTTGGGCACACGGAGGAAGCCAGGCACGTAGGAGGCCAGCCAGCCCATGCTGGAGACATGAGAGAGAACTGAGCTCAAAGACAAATAGTCTTGGACAGGGCGGCCTGTGGACCACAAGAGGAAGAGAAGTGTTACACTGTCATTTCCCACTCCTCAGACACCTCCACCTAGGCTGAAGAGCCTAAGTGGGATGTGAGGGAGGAAGGAACAGGGAGTAAGTGTCGGGGGAGGAGGAGGAGTGAGCAGGGAACGGAGGAAGAGAGGTCCAGGCTGGCTGTGGGGCCAAAACTCTTACCGTCCACATCCTGAAGGCCATAGCGTCGAGCAAGGTCACAAGATGGCAGCACCTTCCCACTCAGGCTCAGGATATTTGGGTCTGTGGGCACAAATACAGCTGAGGAGGCATGGCGGTGATGCAGTGTGACAAGGTTTGGGCCCAATGCACAGGGCACCACTGAAACAGGCTTAGGTGCCCAGAATTCTTTCTTTCTGTTCCTAGGCCTCTGGCTCCTGGCTACACTTCCTACAAGCCAGTTCATGAGCCTCCCAAACTTCAACCTGGGCCCATTTTGGGTCTCCAGAAGCCGGAGAAAAGAAGGCCATATTCCTCAACCACCTCCTGAGCCAGGACTGAGAACTGGCTACAAGCACCCTGCAGATTCCCCATGCCCTTTCTTGTTACCACCTGCCCCCAATCGCTTTACCTGTTGCCAAAGCCACCACACATTTGCCACTCATTTCTGTGGTCTCTGCAGAGGTGAAGCGAGATTTGAGCTGAAACACAGGAGCAGAGAAGTGAAGGGTTAATTCCCAAGAGAACTGCCTGAGTTTTCCCCCCCCACTTTTAGCTTCCATTCCAGGAGAGACAGGCCCTCATCACTGCACCTGCAGGACTCAGAATCTTAGAAGATGCTGGAGCCACTCTTTCCTACATCCAGGTACATCCTGTACCCTGGCACCAGGACCCACTATCTTTCCTAAGTGGAAGGATCTTGGGAAGGATCTGGACCTTCTAGGGTAGTTCAGTGCAGGGGTAAACAGCATGGGCTTCGGGGAAAGAAGCTTTTCCATTTATGGCATACGTGACCTTGAGCAAGTTTCTAACCTTCCCAGGTTTCCGAATTGAGGTCTGTAAAATGGAGATCGTATCTCCCTTACCGGATGAAAGGACATAACGTGTGCACAGTGCTTGGCCCTGCTCCTGGCACAGTAAGCAGCTGGGTATTTACTCTTTGTTACTGTCTTGTCATTGAGGAAAGAGAGGCTGAGTCCTCTGCATTCCCCGCCTCCCTCTTCCTCCCCTCACCAACCTGCTTCAGCAGGGGATCATCAGCATTGTTGTTTTTCACCACAGCCTCCTTCAGTAGTTCTGTCTGCACCAACCCTGGCCACAGAGACACATAGCTGACACCGTGGCACCGCAGCTCCTGGGCACAGTCAGCAGCCAGCCTGTCGCACTGTAGAAGGACAGAAAGTAGGGTGAGAGCCAGGGCACCTGGCCACATCACCTTCCCCCCCGCCTTCTTTGCTTCTGCCAGGGAGGCCCCAGCCCTTCCCAGGAGCCCTGTCCCAGCTGTCTACCTCCCTGGGGGTGCTACCTACTCTGGCCACCCAAGAGGAGTCCAGGCAACGGAACTGTTTATGGAGGGGCAGAGGGAGAGGTGGGGGCCAGTGGGCCTGACTACTCTGACCATTGGGGGTCGTACATCCTGAGCTTTAGGTACCGTCACTATCTGATGCCTCCCTAACCCCTGTGCTCTTGGGTCCTCACCGCAGCTTTGCCAACACCATAGGGGACATTGAAGAGATACTGCAGCCCCCCAACTGAGGAGATGACCACGATGAGTCCCCGGCCGGCTGGCACCATGAGCCGTGCTCCATACACTGAGCACAGGTAGTGACCTCTAGAAGGTGGGGCAAGGAAGAAGAAGGAATAAATGACATTTACTGCTGGCCTGGCTGCTATAGCCCTGGCAGCTTCCTCTGCCCTCCAGTGGTCATGGTCAGCAGAAAGAAGGCCACATAGAGGCAGCCCCAGACCAGGGGAATCAAGGGCTAAAAGCTGCTTTCTGAGAGGAAGACTGGTAAAAGGAACCACCAGTGGATGAGTGTGAAGGGAAAACTCAGTTCTCTACTTTTCTACGTAGGGAACTTCCAGTACACACCCAGCATACTGGGTAACCAGAAAAACATTTCATTTGCATGGGAAACAGGACCCTTCAGGTGAAAACAGGTAGAGAGAATTGTAGTTTCAAAAGGAAAGCCCAATCTAAGGTAATGCAGAGGAAAGGCACAGTAAATGTGTACGTGAATGTGTGTGTGGGAGGTGAGGACGTGTTGGTGGGCTTCCGAGAGGCTCACAAAGTGGCCTTTATCTTGGAAAATTCATTAGGGCTCAGGGACCAACGCCTGGGCCTCTGCCTTATAGGCTCAAAACTCTGACCCACAAGAGATGAGGGAGTGGAAGGCCTCTCTTTGGAGGGCTGAGCATGGGGGCATTGCCAATTATCAGCATTTTGGATTTTCTTTTCTTGCCTATTGGCTGACCATCCCCCTCTGTCCTCATAATCTTTCCTCTGCCTTGGAGATCACAATTGGATTCTAATCCTGCTTCCTCGGTATTTCCACTAGAAGCTGTGGGTGTTCTTAAAATGCTGTAGGCACAGATTTTCAGATAATCTCTTAGTTACTCCCACATGGCTGATCACACCCTCATGAAGTGCAGTTTCTGAAAGGGCACCACCGTTCCAACAATAAAAAAGAGACACAACTGGTGTGTCATGCTAGGTGAACTCTCCGTGCTGGGTTTCATCTCACTCCCATGCAGTGTGTGTAACTCTGACATGGGAGTGCCCTTGCCCGTGCATCTGGACTGAGGATGTGGAGGCTAACACAGCTGGCACTCACTCTCATTGACCTTCTTTTGATCTACGACAAAAAAATTTCTTCTTCTAACCATTTTCGTTAATATGAGCTACAGGTGGTGTGCATTATTGAAAGAGAGAAGCTTCCTTCCAATCATGCACTTGGATGTGCAGAGTGAGGCCGGAGAAAGGCCAAGAGCAAGTTCAGTTGTGTCAGTTCTGACAGAAACAAGGTAAAAGTCAGTGTTCCCAGGTACAGATCCACCTGGATGGAAATTTTCCAGAGTTGTGAGACAAACAGGACAAAAAGGAGAAGAAAGAGATGGGGAGGTCGGAGGACAAGGTGGGACGTATGGGGAATAGTCCAGGCCCTCAGCTGAGTGAGTGAATGGAACCCAGGCTCTTGTTATGGGACGAAGGGAACACTCACCTGAGTCCAACATTGTTGATATCATCCCAGATGGAGGCAGGACTTTCCCAGAATGCCTTCTTAGTGTTCTTCATAATTGCCTGGAAGGCAAAGGGAGTGTGTTGAAGTGGGTGATCTAAAGGCAGGCAGGTATGAGGGGCTGGATAATGAAAGGGACAATGAGTGGGGATAAGGACTCAGGGGTCAGAGGGGGAGGGTAGGGATGTAGAGCTGAAATCAAAGTTTAAAGGGTACCGTGACCCCGGCATAGGCGTTGTTGACCAGCACATCCAGACGCCCCTGCTGTTCCCGATCCACTTGCTCAAACAGGCTTTGCACTTCACTCTCCTGGCTTGAATCGCATACCACAGGCACACACTGGCCCCCTCGAGATTGTGCCTGGAGAGAGACAGAAGGGATGTGAGCTTATAGATGCACATGAGTGTGCGACATAAGGCAACTCTCTTCAACTCCCAGCTTGGGGGCGCTGAGAAGGCAAACAGGAATCAAAGTTCTCAGGGCTGAGGAAATATGGTGAGAAATGCCGCCCTCTGGTGTTTATTTGAGGAGTTTCAGGAGTGCCTGATCCTTTATAGAGGAAAACGGATTGGGATCTCAAGCTTAAAATCTACATTTACGGAGGCCTACCACGTGCAAGGCATTGTACACTCTCAGTGGAAGGCAAAGGACAAATAGGGAAGGGGGGATGCTCCTAGGAAAGTCTCTTTCCTTATCCTTGGTCATTTACAACTCTCAGGCTCTGAGCTCCCACCCTTCACCACTCACGTGTAACCTCTCCTCAGTCCCAGCCCTCTTACCCTCACTTCACCAATGCTCCTGCCTAGTTAGTGAAAAACCAAAACTCTCAGGCATGAACTATTTCTACTTTCCGTTCTACCTCACCTTCCACAAATGAGTCCTCATCCTCTAACTTCAAAGGAAGAAGAAATACCTTATTCAAGACCAATCCCCCTATTCTCCAGATCCATGCTCTGGTTCCCACCTCTTACCTTCTTGCCTCCTAACTGCTCACCTGTCCTCCCAGAATATTCTGTGTCTGCCTCTGATTTCTTGCTAGATCCTATCTTTTCAAAGCAGAAGTGACAGCTTATTAATCTTGGTAACCCCAAGCCTTCACCCAGTGCCTAGCAAACCAAATATGTATTTAACTGAAATCCAATAAAAAAAAAAAGCCAATATATGGAAACCAACTTGACAATAAACTATTAAAAAAAAAAAAGCCAAGTGAAAGGGTAGAGCTTAATAAAGTCTTCCCTAAAATAAAGCACAGGTCCACAACCCTTCAGTTGCAATTCCAAAATCCCTGAAGGTTTCAAACAAGGCTTTTTCATGAAACTTCCTTAGTGGCAACATTTGACCTGATCTGAAGTCATATGGGGGCTTCCTTTATTCCAGTTTGAATACATATTCACATTTCGTTGAGGAAGATAATGGTTTCAGGTAAGGGATTAGTGGAAGGAGTGGTTAAGGGGAAGGACTACCCCGGGAGACTTCTGCCCCACTGGGAAGAGAGCACCCACCTCCGCAGAAGTGGCCCGCAGCGTGTCCATATGGCGGCCAGTGATGTAAACCGTGGCACCTGCCTGGCAGAGTTGCAAGGCGATGCCGCGGCCAATACCTCTGGAAGCACCTGTCACTACGCACACTTGGCCCTTCATGGGAGCTGCCATGACTCACAGGCAAAGGGGGCAAATCTGTGGAAGCAAAGACTTGCTCTGAGGGAAGCCTGCATCTTGTGTATGTGGAAGGGGGCCCCGGATAGCGATAGGAAAGGGAGCCAAGGCTGTTTGGCCTTTTTGGCAGCCCAAGGAATAAAGAAGGGGGCTCAGTGGGACTGTCCAGGGCTACCTCTCTGAAAGGGGCTGACCGAGTCGGGGGGCTTCCGGCGAGGCAGCCCCTCACGGCGAGTCCAAGCAGCATTCTGGGCTATCTGGAACTCTGGCCCTATAGGGCTGAGCCCGGAGGCGCGGCTTCCAGGTCGTGTGTTAGAGCGAGGCCCGGGGACGCTGAATCCTAAGCAGAGGGAGCTCGCGCCACTTACCCGCACTCTTGCAGTCCCGGCGCCGTCTAGCTGGCAAAGTCCTTGGACTCTAGAACTTCGATTCTGGCTGCGGGGGCGGGACGAGGTGGCTGCAACTGGATCAGAGTGTGAGGCTGTGGGGGCAGTCCGCGTTCCCGTCCGGGATCAGCTGGGGGAGCCGAGGAGACAGCGGAGGAGTGTACTAACGGTCCGGAAGGACCCGGGGCGGGGACTGGCGACTGGAGGCGGAGCGATCTGGGAACACTCACTGCCATTCGGGTAGGGGCCGTCGCCGGACTGTGACGTATACGCTGCGCGCTGAGGGCGCCGGCCTCCCTAAACTCCGTCCGCACCCGGCACGCTCCTACCTGCGTGACGTTCCTCTACGACTAGAGAAGCTTTCGCGGACAGACACGGACTTTAGCACTCATGGGACTGGGTCCGCGCTCCCTCCACAAGGCTGGGCGCCGGGTTCCAGCTGGTGGCAAAGGAGGGCGCGGGGCCAAAGGGTCGGGGCGACCCCCACCGGGCCGCCAGCGGCCTCCGGATAGGAGCTCGGAACCAGCCCCAGATGCGCACCCTCACCTGAGCCCCGAAGCTCTGGGGTATTTCCGCCAGGCGCTGTCAGCGCTGAAAGAGGCTCCTGAGACCGGAGAAGAACGAGGTGGGGAGACTGCAGGGAGGGATTCGTTGCGCATAAATTCTGGGACAGGCAGGGGAATTTTCATGGGTCCCTAGGGCGTAGAGCCTTAGTCTCTATCTCCCATAGCCTCTTTTTCATTGCCTCTCTCCCTCCTTTGGTTAACTGATGGAACGTAACCACCCTCCTCGTAGTCTCTAAGATAATTTCTTTTCTTGTCTGTTCAGAACTGATGGTGCACAATGTTTTGAAGGAAGTGGAGGCCCAGGCCCTAGCCTTGGCCACAAACAGGACTGGCAGTGAGATTATGCAGGAACTGCTGGGATTCAGTCCCCTGAAGCCGCTGTGTCGAGTCTGGGCTACTTTGCGCTCCAACTTCCGCCTCGTGGCCTGTCATCGATGCGGGATGCATGTATTGCAAAGCGCTTTGCTGCAGCTGCCTCGATTGCTGCGGAGCCCTACAGAGAAGGAGGAAGAGGACGTGGAGGAGGAGGAGGATGGCAAGGATGGTCCTATGGAGACCCTGGAGGAGCTGGTTTTGGGACTAGCCTCCGAAGTGTGTGATGATTTTCTTTTCTACTGTGGAGACACACATGGCAGCTTCGTGGTCAGAACTCTGCTGCAGGTGTTGGGAGGGACTCTTCTGGAGTCTGAGAGAGCCAGGCACCGTGGCTCTCAGTCACCTGGTAAGTATTACAGGAGAGGGAAGTGGACCTAGAGGAGAGGTGGGTTTAGGAAGTAAGGTAGAAAAGAGTAAGGAGAAGAGTAATTCTTGATGACCTTGAAGAGTTAGCAGAGAGATTAGGACAAGGCTTAACAGGCCAAAGATGAATGCACACAGAGGCCCAGATGTGAGGATGCATAGGTGTGTTTGGGGGACAGCTGGTAGAATGGACCAGGGATAAGAGGTGATTCATGAGGAATGGATGTCAAACTTTTTTCAAACCACACCCCAGAGAATTTTTTTTGTTTCATGCCTATGTGTGTGTATACATATATTGGACTCAAGCAGAACTTTGAGAAGCCATACCCTTAATATGTACAACCTACTTTGATGTTTTCTGTTCTATTCCATTCCATTCCGTTCCGTTGAAAAAGTGCTGATTAAAATCCACTAACGTGATTTCATGTTGCATTCATTGGCAGTGACCTACATTTTGAAAAACTCTGGGAAATAAGGTTCTAGAGTTTAGATGAGGCCTGATTTTGGAACACCTTGAATTCCTGACTGCGAGTTTGGCCTATCTTCTATGGACATCTGGGGAACTGACTGAAATTTGTAAGAAAAACCAGAAGAGAAATGTAGTCTCAATCTAGTCATCCAGATGAGAAGAGATATTCATATGTGTTCTGCATCTCCAAGCTGAGTCCTTGCTCATCCATGGAATTATTCTCCCTCCTGGTTGGTAGTTCGTGACCTCAGCACCGCACATGTTCTCATTATTCTTTCAGAAGCACAAAGGGCCCCAGCTCGGGAAGGTAGGCCAACTGATTTTGAGGTCCCTGAAACCTTCTTGAATCGCCTTCAAGACCTGAGCTCCTGCTTTCTGAAGGACATTGCTGGTAAGGAGGGCAAAAGGAGGAGGGTCTAGGACTTAACCTTTCTGGAGGTGACTGTCATCATCTGAGGCCCTTACTTCGATCAGGCTTACTCCTTTTCAAATCTGATCTGGTTTGATATTGCAAAGGCTCTGTATAGAGCCTTTGCGTTCATAGTCTCTGATACCTTATTGCTTGAGGCTTGAGGTTGTACAGGTTACCTGGATTTCGGAAAAGCTGCTTTTATTATTTCTGCCCTCTCCCACAGTATTTATCACTGACAAGATCTCCAGCTTCTGCCTTCAAGTGGCCTTACAAATCTTACACCGCAAGCTGCCCCAGTTTTGTGCTCAGCTCTGCAGTGCTGTGATTGGCTATCTGAGTAGCCGCAATCCCTCAGCTGATGGCAGGTATGGTCCAGGCCTCAGGGTCCCCCAAGCTTGATGAGGCTGTGGGAAGTGAATGGAGTGATGTGGGTATTTTAGATGAAGTAGAGTAAAGGCTGCTTGATCACCGTCTCCTTGTCCCTAGCCCCCTACTGCTATTTCTGAGGGATCAGACGAGCTCCAGACTCCTGGAGCAAGTGCTGCTGGTGTTGGAGCCCCTGAGGCTCCAGAGCCTCTTTGAAGATCACTTCCAAGGGCAGCTGCAGACCCTGGCTGCACACCCTATTGCCAACTTCCCTTTGCAGCGTTTCCTAGATGCCGTTACTACCCCTGAGTTGGTGAGTTGAGAGTGGGGCTGGATCTCTTTCTTTGCTCTGTTTCTGCTAGTTTTTGTTCACTGGGCCTTATTGTATTGTGTGCCTGCCTCTGCGTCTGACAGCGTGCTGGCCATTCCCCTTGAAGCTGTTTCTGGGGGTTACTCAGAGCTTATGGTGAAAGTGCCTTCCTCTCAGAAAGGATTTATTTTGGCTTCTCGGGTGCCAATACCAGCAGGCGACTTGGCTTAATCCAAACAGACAGCTTGAGGCTCCATGGCCTGTATTTATGGTCAAGTATCTGTAGCAATACAGAGTTGGGAGTTAGGATAGAAGGGTAGATTTTGGTTTTTTTTTTTAAGATTTTATTTTTAAGTAATCTCTACACCTAACTTGGGGCTTGAACTCACAACCCAAGATCAAGAGCCACGTGCTCTACTGACTGAGATAGCCAGGCGCCCCTAAAAGGGCTGATTTAATTCTAGTGTCCCCTCATCTTGAAAGTGTGGCCATTTAAAGTATCCCTGCTTCCCTTGTGTGAGGCAGCACCTCTAAGACTGCCCCCTTGTCCTGGCCAAACCCAAATCCTGATATTGGCAGTGCTTCTCTAGCACCTCTAGTTGTATTCCACAAGAAGATTTCTCTGAATAACTCAGTCCACTGTTTCAGAATGCCAAAGATTCTTCATCCTGTGTCTCCCCTCAGCTGTCCCCCGTGTTTGAGGAGCTCAGCCCTGCCCTGGAAGCTGTGCTGGCTCAAGGTCACCCAGGGGTGGTCATTGCCCTGGTGGGGGCCTGTCGCAGAGTTGGGGCCCACCAAGCCCGGGTCCTGCAGCTGTTGTTGGAGGTGAGTAGGTGTTACCCACAACCTATTTATGCCCTCAGTTCAAATTCCACCTGTTAGGACTTCTCTAATCTTCAGTGGTTATATCTCTGGACTCAAGAGGTCTAATGCCCAGGGAGTTCACAGATCCAGGGAGAAATGAGGCCAAACTCATCTCACAGCCCTGGAATGAAAACTGTCTCCCAGAACTAAGAGAGCAGTTTATTTAAGGGATAAATGTTTATTCAACCCCTGTTATGCGTCTAGAGGCTGGGGATACAGCAAGGCAGATAAGATCCTGCCCTATGCAGCTTATGTTCTCATGTCTCCTGAATGCTTTCCTCTGTCTAGAGAGTCGGGGTTAGGGATGAGGTAGTTCTCCGATTCATCCTGTTGTGTCTTCTCCTCTAGGCATTCCACTGTGCGGAGCCCTCTTCCCGGCAAGTGGCCTGCGTGCCTCTCTTTGCCACTTTGACGGCTTATGAGGTGTACTATGGACTGGCAGAGGAGGAAGGGGCAGTGCCCGCAGAGCACCAGGTGAGGTAGGAGAGGGGCCAAGTCAGTGTCTAACCGGGGGCCAGTGTTTAAAAAGCCCTTCACCCTTGTGGTGAGGGTGGGGAGATCTCTGGCTTCATCCAGGCCGGGGTGGCATTTTGGTGGCTGCCTCCTAAGTCCCCGTCTCTGTCCTACCAGGTGGAAATGGCCGTGGCCAGGGCCCTGGGGGAAGTGACAGTCCTCGGATCTCTACTGCTCCAGCATCTGCTGCACTTCTCTAGCCCTGGTATCGTACTTCGAAGTCTGGGTGCCTTGACGGGACCACAACTTCTGAGTCTCGCCCAGAGCCCTGCTGGCTCCCATGTGCTTGATGCCATCCTCACCAGCCCCTCTGTGACGCGCAAGCAGCGCCGCCGCGTGCTAAAGACCCTAAAGGTTCTGGTTTCTGCTTTGATTCCCCCACCAACATCCGTTTAAGAGAACGTGAGCTCGCCCTGAGACTGTCCTTCAGAGTCAGAGAGCGGATATAGAGTTCCCAGATGCTTTTGACTCAGACTGTAAACTTTTGAAACTTCACTTCCCCATTGCCCTCCCCAGTACACTTTTGTAGAATGCCCTAGAGGGACCTGCCTTGCTTGTTTCACTGCAGGGACAATACGTGGCTCTGGCCTGTAGTCGCCATGGCAGCCGAGTGCTAGATGCCATCTGGAGTAGAGCAGCCTTAGGGGCCCGGAAGGAAATTGCTGCTGAGCTGGGTGAGTACCAGCACCTCTCTCTGACCTTTCCGAACTTCCCTCACTCCAGGTGGCTGAGTGGCTGGGGAGGAGACTTCAATTCAGCAGAGACTTCAGTTCCAAAGGGTGGTGTTGGCCATGGGTTCTTAGCAGTCTGCCCTCCTCCCCTTCTGCTCTGCTCAATATGCAGCCCTGTGTTCCCACCCTCTCCTGGCTTCCGTTCTTTGGAGACCGAGGTATTAATTGTCCCTGAGGCCAACCCAGGGCCCAGGGAAAATGGAGGGACCTTCACCCAGAGAGTGTCCCTTTGAGCATGGGGGGTGACTGCACAATGATACTGAACATGAGTGATTCCCCTTGCAGGAGAGCGGAACCAGGAGCTGATAAGAGACCCTTTTGGCCACCATGTGGCTCGAAACGTGGCCCTGACTACTTTCCTGAAGCGCCGAGAGGCTTGGGAACAGCAGCAGGGGGCAGTGGCCAAGCGAAGGAGGGCTTTGAACTCAATACTTGAAGACTGAGGCCTTTGGACCTGAGACTGGGTGTTGATGGGAAGGGTAAAGGGAGTCTCTGTCCTGTCCCCTTCTTAGTTTAAGTTGGAATCAAATGTCTTATTAATAAACATTTTTATATTTTTATTGGAAATGTTTTTGTTATTTTGGGGGAAAGGGTACAAAGAAATAGAGATCTCAAGGTGAAGTCAGGGCTGAATTCAGTGCCCTGGGAAGCTTAGGGACAGGAAGAGTTACAAGGAATCTAGATGTAGCAATGATTGGGGGTGGGGGGGTCAAGTGCTTGGGGACAGGCTTGTGGCCTCTCTGGGTAAATGGGATGCTGGAAAGATGGCTAGGAAGGGACAGCATTCTTCAGGAAAGAGTATAGGCTAGGGGTGTAAGGCGTTATGCTGACGGGGCCTGGCACAATGGGGTCAGAAGGCATTAGGGAAATCAGGTGAGTTATCTAACCTGCACTGTCTTCAGGTCTCCAAAGCTGATGCTGCCACAGTCCTCACAGTGTGTCTTGGAACAAGTCTGAGGGCAGAAAGCGGCTTGGAGCCCCTTCTCAGTAGGGATGGAGGCGACCCTGCCTCTGCCAATGCCATTGCTCGGCCCCTTCTATTAAATGGCGAAGGCTGGAGGAAATTCCCAGCAACATATGGCCCAGCCCTTGCAGCAGTGCAGAGGTCCAACGGAGGAGCTCCCTGAAGGGCAGAGACAAGATGAAGTTGGATGGTGGGGGAATGTGGGAGGAGGCTATAGAGGGGGTTTTCCCCAAGGGAGAGATTATGGATAGGTGAGTACTGGAGAAGGAAGTGGGGTGCTGCAACTGTAGGGGGATGGGGAAATACGACGTGTTGGTCTCTGACCTGAGTACTTTCTTTGGGCCGAGTCCTTGAAAGTCACAACTCATGGAGTAGAGCCCGTAGAATGTGGCTTTGATATTGAGGCTGCCAAAGAGGTCTCGAGGGTTTTGCTTGTATACGTCGAAGGTGATCCGGGCGATGTCCTTGCTGTGCTTGGGCTTCTCCCGGCCCAGGCCGTATGACAGCATCCCACTCTGTAGGGAACTCTTATCAGTGCAATGCACCCTCTTGCACTGGGTCACACAGTCCCCCACCAGCCCTGGGTCAGATACACCCTTGCTTGGACTGTTTGTCCCCTACGTGGTATCCTTGGCAACTCCTCACCTCTCCCAGTGCCTCTGCCCCCAAGATCATGGCTGGGCTAGAGGAGCTTGGGAGAGATAGAAAGGACTGGTGGCCTACAGCAGCCCCACTATGGGCCTCTCACCCTGCTGGGGGTCCAGCTCTGCCCGCGCTCCAGCACCATCAGGGACGTGTCATCCTCCAGATGCTGGAAGAAGTCCTCACTCTCCACGGCGGTCCCATCCTCCTCCAGCACCAGTGTTAGCATCCCACTCAGCAGCAGGGCCTCCAGTGCCTGCCCAGCCACAGGAAGCAGGAGGGAAGGGGCAGAGCTTATCCATGCCCCTCCCTCCCTCTCCAGCTGCCCCACACCCACCGGTTGGCTCTGGATGCTGATTGACACCCCAACTCTACTTCCTGGGAAACTGCCATTCTTCAAATGGCTCCAGCTCTTGGTGCTCAGTTGCTGGGGGACCCTCACTAAGGGCTGACATTTTTAACCTATTTGCTCCTCTGTCATAGGAATCTTGTCATAGGAATCGCCATTCCATACTGACTTCTGAATGCCAATCTTCTAAACCCTCCCTATCTATTCCCCCTCTTACCCCCTGGAAAAGGAATAACCTAAATACAGCATTGGTCATTGGGCTGAACCCTACCCACCCGCCCCGCTTTAGTCCTCAGAGGGAGGAGCAGCCATGTAACTAACCTCAGCCTTTCTGCTCGCTCACTCCAAGTTCTCTCTTTTCTAGCCCCTGCAATAGGAACTTAGGGATTTGGCTCACTTACCTTGTCTAGCAATTCCTGGCGGGTCGCAGCTGTCAGACCTTTCCGGGTGGTTCGCTTGTGATCACAGACACGGAAAGGTCGCTGGGGTGGTGGAGGTGAAGTCCAGACTTTCCTGCCAAACTCAGAGCTCATACTGGATACTGACCTGGTAGTTGGGAAGAAAGGTCAAGATGAGAGGAGTTTGGTGAATGCAGTGGGGATGATGGGGTGGGGTGTCTGGAGTGTTAGGGAGGGATCTAGGTTTGCAGATCAGAGTAACCTAGGGAGAGACCATGGAGTGGGGGTGGTGAGTGGTGGTTCCATAGCTGGACAAGCCCACTGTGCAAAGTGGGGGCTGGGAGGAAAAGGGGTACGAATCTGAGTCTCCTGGGGGCTGATGGAATTTTGTTGCCACGCACTATCCTCAGAGTTGGAGAGTAGAGAGGAGGGTTAGAAATCACCTGAGCAGGCCGCTGGGGTTCAGGGCTGAGAGGTAGTCCATGGTGGAGGGAAGGAGCAGGAGAGTTGCCTCTCCCCGAGAATTCTGGACTGTGTGGTTCTCTGCTGTGCTGGGGCTGAAATGGTGGTGTTTTCAGCTACAGAGCTGGGATCTCTGCTCCAGTGAGGTGGGAGATGAGTCAACCTGGACTCTGTTCCCCCCTACCTGGCCAGTAAGAAGGGCAAGGTCCAAGGGGAGGGAGAGGAGGAGGGGCTTAGATGGGATAGTGGAGAAGGGACTGAGGTCCACAGTTGACTGCAAAAGTCATAAAGCTGTGTGTGTGAGTGTGTGTGTGTGTGTGTGTGTGTGTGTGTGTGTGTGTGTGTGATGGCAGGGTGTGCTGAGGATAAATGGGAACTATGTAAGAGAACGGAATGTGATCTCTGGTGTTTTTCTTTCTATGGAGAGAATTTCTGGTTCCCAGCCCTAGAGAAGCTGTCATTACACATGATTTGCACTGTGCTTGCTGCCACCTACTGTGAAAGCCATAAACTGCAGCCTTAGGAAAGGGGAGGCCAGGCTGAGGGTGGGATCATGGGCAGGGCTTGGATGAAATGAAGCGTGAGGCGGTGTGCCAGGGTGGCTTGTGAGGAGAGGATGGATCCTGTTTCCTGGATCCAGGATCACCAGAATCTTGTCTGGGACCCTGGCCTTTCTGCTTCTTCCTCGGTCTAGGGGAGGGGCTGGCTCATTCTCCAGAACTGCTCGCTTCAGCCACACTAGATTAGTCACTTTCTCTCTCGCCTTTCTTTTTTGGCTACTGAATGGGTATGAAGGAGATGCGAAGGGGGTGGGGGCTGTCCTTGGATGGCATCAAGACTAGCTTTGGGTGCCCTGAGTCCCATTTCTGATTTCAGTTATAGCTGTGGACAGTGGTATGGAAGCTCACACTCTCACTCGGACTGAACTCCTCGCGTGAGTGTAAATCTCTGTTTTCCTGCCTAGGTGTTTGAAGGTGTGGCAGCCTGCTCAGCCTCCTAACGAGTTTAGGCTGGCAAGTGTGTATAATGCCTCCAGGACAGCCCTCAAACTGGGGGGAAGGCAAGCTGGGCATCAGTGTCCCAGTCTTCTGTCTTTCTGGAAGGCGTTCTGTGTAATTCTGAGAGGTATCTAATCCCTACTGAAGAGACTCAATAATATACTCTTATCGGCTCTCTTTTTCCCTCTCGTCCCCTGTTCCTCACTCCTGCTTCCTGAGCTGACTTTGCAGATGCAGGATTACCTGTACCCATGCTCCTAATTCAGGCTGTGCTTTGGAAGTAACCCGAACTGAGACAATATTGGTGTCCTGGGTCCCAAGGAATACCCAGTTCTAGCTGTTAACTGGGCAGGGGTCTTTCCCCTTAGCTCAACTTTATCAGTGTACTAGGTCCCCCTCAAATTTCTGCATTTCCAGGCTTTGCCTGATCTCTTCACGCAGAGAACGCTCCTTTTCCGTATGTCTCTACCAATGCACCCTTTCCTATCTTCTTATCTCGTGGCTTGGTAGTATGGTCTCTTTGTGGTTGAGTGTTATGATTCCTCAAAGAGCTGAGAAGTCCCTTGTACCTCCCTGCATCCCCCCAGAACTCAGCACTGTGATTGAAAGCTGTCATTGGTAGCCCTTTGAGAGCCCCAAGATGGGAGAGGTGTGGGAGCATAAGGCAAGCTGAAGGCAAAGCACACGCTAGCAACTTCCCTGCCCCCAGGGGGGGATATGTGTGATATTCCTCAGGTACTCCTAGCTGCCCAAGAACAAAGGAAAGGACAGAAAACAATGGTTAGACTGCTAGAGATCACAGGACCTGAGTCTTCATCAGTTTACAAATATCTCAGTAAATTACAAGAAAAGAGAAATCTCATCAATAGCCTAATCTCCAGAAACTCCCAAGTGTCTTAACGATAATACTTTGCAAGAGGGCAAACAGCCTTAGCTTGACAACAGCTAGGACCCCAATAATCTGTAACTCCTCTTTATCATATCGAAATCCCTTCAAGAAATTTTCTCTTGACTTACCTCCCCCAACTGCATAGTATATAAAGAATCAGGAGCGCCTGGGTGGCTTAGTCGGTTAAGCGTCCGACTTTCGCTTAGGTCATGATCTCGCAGTTCGTGGGTTCGAGCCCCGCGTCGGGCTCTGTGCTGACTGCCAGCTCAGAGCCTGGAGCCTGTTTCAGAGTCTGTATCTCCCTCTCTCTCTGACCCTCCCCTGCTCACGCTGTCTCTTTCTCTCTCTCCTAGAAATAAATAAAAATATTAAAAAAAAAAAAAAAGAATCACCCCCCTCACACTGAAAAATTGCTCTTCCTGCCCACAGGTCCTGTCCCCGTGCTTTAATAAAGTCACCTTTATGCGCCAAAGACATATTCAAGAATTGTTTCTTGGCCATTGGCTCCAGACATCACCCCCATTACCCCAAAACTGCATCAAGAGGAGTAGGTAGGAGGCCGAAGAAAAAGGGGGCCCAGCAGGATCAGAAGTTTGGAAATAGGTCAAGATGGAACAGCTGGGGTAACGAGTAGTTTGGGTCACCTTCTCCTCTGACTACAGGCCAGGGAAGCCTGAGGATGTGATGGTGGTGGCCGTTGTCCCAACAACTGAGGCCAGAACTGCAGGAGGGATGAGTGCAGATGCAGGACCCAGGATTTGGGGGTGTCCCTACTCACCTGCATGATCAGGGAACCTTATCTAAATTCCTTCAGATAATCCTGTTTCCTAGGGAGGCAGCCTCTCACATGCCTGGACCTGTTAGTGATGGGAAAGGGAAGAGCACGGGAGGTGCCCCAGGAAGAGCCTGAAAAGAGCTCCACCTCGTCCCTCCCCATTCCTAATCTCACATTGCAAACCTAACTGGCAGAGGACAGGAGTAGGCACCTCACTCACTGCTGCTGTGCCTTTCAGCTTCTCCAGGCCCCTCATGGGCCTTGATTCTACTAGCTCCCAGCTGGGTAAGTAGATCTGCCCATGAGCCTTAACTTCCCACCACTCATTTTGCCCGGAGGTATAAGGAATGCAGGGGGAGGGGGGGTACAAAAAAGAGGCCCAGCTAAAGCCGTCGAAGTGGAGGTAGTGACAGCCTGAGAGTCAGGACTGGGGAGGTCCGCTGACTGACCGCAGGGGATTTGGGTTCCAAGAAGTAGTGTTTGAGTAGGGGCTAGGGTAGGTCAGGAAGAAAGTCAAAGCCCCTAGACAGAAGAGAGGAAAGTGGGAGGAGACGCAGTCCTTTCTCCCCTGGCATGAGGGGTACCCCGGGCTTTTGCCCCACCCCCTAAATGCCCTCTGTGGCCCTTTCCATCTCCCGGTAGGCACGGAAGAATGCTGGCCTGTTATCGGCCCCCGGGGAACGAGACGCTGCTGAGCTGGAAGGCCTCGCGGGTCACCGGCACGGCCTTCCTGCTGCTGGCGGCGCTGCTGGGACTGCCGGGCAATGGCTTCGTAGTGTGGAGCTTGGCGGGCTGGAGGCCCGCAAGGGGGCGACCGCTGGCGGCCACGCTGGTGCTGCACCTGGCGCTGGCCGACGGCGCGGTGCTGCTGCTCACGCCTCTCTTCGCGACCTTCCTGGCGGGGCAGGCGTGGCCGCTGGGCCAGGCGGGCTGCAAGGCGGTGTACTACGTGTGCGCGCTCAGCATGTACGCCAGCGTCCTTCTCACCAGCCTGCTCAGCCTGCAGCGCTGCCTCGCCGTCACTCGCCCTTTCCTGGCGCCCCGGCTGCGCAGTCCGGCCCTGGCCCGCCGCCTGCTGCTGGCCGTCTGGCTGGCCGCTCTGCTGCTCGCCGCCCCGGCCGCCGTCTACCGCCACCTGTGGGGAGACCGCGTGTGCCAGCTGTGCCACCCTTCGCCGACCCACGCCGCGGCCCACCTGAGCCTGGAGACTCTGACCGCCTTCGTGCTTCCTTTCGGGCTGGTGCTCGGCTGCTACGGCTTGACGCTGGCGCGGCTGCGGGGCGCTCGCTGGGGCGCCGGGCGGCACCGGACGCGGGTGGGCCGGCTGGTGAGCGCCATAGTGCTTGCCTTCGGCTTACTTTGGGCCCCCTACCACGTGGTCAACATTCTGCAGGTGGTCGCCGTGCTGGCTCCGCCGGAAGGGGCGTTGGCCAGGCTGGGCGGGGCGGGCCAGGCAGCGAGAGCTGGAACTACAGCTTTGGCCTTCTTCAGCTCCAGTGTCAACCCGGTGCTCTATGTCTTCACTGCCGGGGATCTGTTGCCCCGGGCAGGTCCCCGCTTCCTTACAAGACTCTTTGAGGGCTCTGGAGAGGGCGGCGGTGGTGGCCGCTCTAGGGAGGGCACCATGGAGCTCCGAACAACCCCAACAACCCCTCGGCTCAAAGTGGTGGGGCAGGGCCGGGGCGATGGAGACCCTGGGGGCGGGGTGGAGAAGGACAGTCAGGGATGGGCGCCTTGACACCAAACCCTACCAACTTGGCCTGCTCTTCCCTACCCCCTTCCATCGTTCCCCCCCCCCCCCCCCCCCCCCCCCCCCCCCCCCCCCCCCCCCCAGAACTCAGGGAACACCCGGTGCATTTGGGGATCCTTCTCTGGCCACAGTTTGGATCTTTCTGGGCAGGCCCAGGTTCCTCCAAACTGAGGGATTGCAAGTGGTGATGGTCCACGTTAATGAATATTGTGTGCTTGCAGGTTGGCACCGGCCCAACATGCCTGAGCTGCTTACTTGTTGCCAATAGCTACTGTGAAATACACTGAGGGTGGGGGGCATTATGTGATGGCTTAAGCATGCCCCCCATTGGTAGTTCATTATGCCTGAGTTGTACTGAAGCCACCTGGTTCTCTGCTGGGTCAGTCCAAGGCTGGGCACTGCCAGACTTCAGTGGCATCTTGACTTGTCCTCCTCAGTCCTGGTGGCCTGGTTTCCTTCGGTCAAGCGATAGAACCACTCCAGAAATAAAGGGAGAAAGAGGAAGGAAAGGTATGGGTGCTTGAATGAAAGAATGGGACGGGAGTCCTTTTCTGGGGTCTGAAAGAGCTGAGTGGAGAAAAAACCATCTCTGGAAGGAGAAAGACAATCTATGGGGTTAGAAAGGAAAGTTTTTCTGTTATGGTTGACGCAGTGGGAGACAGAGGCTGGGAACCCTGTCTTCCTCTCTGAATCCGACTCTTCCCCCCAGAGGTCACCTGACTCAAAAAAGAGCCCAGGAGCAGGCACAAGCTCACCCAGGGGACTTTTGGGGATTGAGGTGGGGGGTACAGGGAATGTGTGGGTGTCTAGAGGACAGGAAGTTTTCAGCTAGGCGGCATCTCTCCTTTGTCTCCTTTTTCTCTCTGCCAAGTTTGGATTCCTCCCAAGACTGCTAGCTGTTGCTCACCGGCCCCATAGTTCTTGGTCCCCATCTTTTGGAACCTCTCTATCTCTAGGTCCCTAAACTGTTCTGAATCCTGACACTTTTGAGTTTGGGCGTGAAGGATGGGGTTCGTTTTACAGAACGTCTGCATGCACACACACGTGGTCACTGGGGTGACTAACTCATCCCCGTTTGCCCAAGACTTTCCCAGTTTCAGCACCGGAAGTTTCTTGTCCCAGTCAATTTCTGGCAAACGCAGATGGCTGGTGACCTGAGAGCACTCACCCGAACCGTCATCCCAGGTTCTGCTTTAGTGACTGTTCACATCACTCAGAGGCCAAGAATGAGCAAAGGAAATTGAGTCCTCAGGGTCACGCCAGGGCCACCCAAACTGGGGCAAGGTGGGGCTCTGGATTTGGGGGGCAGAAAGTATGCTTGGAGTATCTAGTCTGAGGTGGAGGAAGAAATTCTGTCGAGAGACATGGAAGTGGGGAGTAGTTTGGGAGAGGAGGCAAAAACAACCCAGTTTCTGTCAGGAGGGGCCTCTGGTTGACTCCCGAGCTCTGAGCCAGAACCTGCATCCTCCGTCCAACACTGAAGGGGGAACTTCTTCCTGTTCTTATGTGTCAGGGCAGAAGCTCCCTAACTTCCTCTCTTCCATAGTCCCTGTCTCACAACCTCTGTGGTCAGAAAGTCCTTCCTCAACTCTGCCTTCCTGCTGTGGTTTCAGCCCATTTCTTTGCATCACATCCTCTGTCTACTGGGTCAGCTCTGCACTGGCTTTTCTCAAAGCAGAGAGGGCAAGGGACCTCAGTGACCATCACCACATGCCGCATCTTTCCTGGGAAGTGACAGAGTTGGAAGGGAAGCAGGAACGTTCATCGCCAGATCGAAGGAAAGACTTTTCAGATCTTAGTCCCTGCAGGAGAGGTCAAAGGGAGAGACTTCTTCCAGGAGAGGAGAACAGTGACCGTTTTGGGGGCTGTTCCTCCTTGCACGTCCCTGGCTTCCCCTCCGGGCAGGGCAAGCATAAGGCATCACCGCCCCTACTTCCTCTCCTTATGCTCAGCCTCCACTTTGTGTGTCTGAGGTGGGACTGGACAGCTAACTATGAGAGGGTAGGAAAAAGGTGGTGCTGACCTCCTTGTCCAGCGCCCAGATCTTAAATCCAAATTCATGTGGCAGGGTAGCCACACGGCCAAGCACAAGGGAAGTGGCTGAGGAAGGGGGGAGAAATTGGCATTCGGTGTGATACGAAGGAGATCCTTTGGACTTTGGCTTCTGCCAAGAAGAAGAATTGGACCAACCTTTTTAAATGAAGGGAAGGGATTGGGGGGAGTTCTGGAAGAGCCCTCCCTCCAAACTCTGCTCATGGCTTGAACACAAGCCAAGGACAGAGTGCTGTCCTCTTCAAGCCCTGATGTTACCTAAACCCAAACCCATAACCTAGCCACATTTCTAACCTACACTTCCTATTAATCTAAAAGTCTACATTTACACAACATATAAAGATACCCAACATTCTGGCCTCTCAATCTGAGCTGTTTCCCTTTTCCAGCCTCCTTCCCTCCTCCTCCTGTGTGACCCAATCCAATTCTCCAGTCTAGACCTGCATATGAGGCCACACCCTAGCCTACTCACTCCCCTCACCCCTCTTTCCTCTCCCTGCACCTTCCTGGGCTCTTCTCATCTGGTCCCACCCCTGAGGAGTCCTCCTCCCTGCTAGGCTCTTCTGGAACACAAAAACCATCCCCCCCACCTCCAGTAAAGGGAGGGCTAGGGGTTTCAGCCCCACCCTCAGGAAGATGTGTCTTCCCCCTCCTCTGCTTCTTGGTACTTCCTCTCTGGTGACTTAGCTGACAGCACCCAGACCTGGGGCCAGGACCTTGGAACTGGGACAGATCTGGTAACAGGCTACACCACTCTGCCCTGGCCTTGGGATTGGCACCAGCTTCCAACCAGTACCTGGCAAAGTCTGTAAGTAAGTATCCTGGGAGTAGGGAGGTAGTGGTGGGCCAGAGAAAGGGCAAAGGAAATTTCCAGAGAAAGCCTGACTGGGGAGGATTTGTTCCTGTCTCCCATCCACAAACTCCTCCCCTCCCTGTTATTTCTGGTGGGCCTTGGGCACCTCTGGAGAGAGTGAGTAGGTGATTGGTGGAAGTCAGTGGGACTGAGGGGGCTCAGGGCCTGGCAGGTGATGGAGAAGCTAGCCTCTTGAGGGGTGTTAAGCCCTCTTAGCTTTGTTAAGGAAAGCCTCCCTCCCCCATTTGGTTCTGGGTTTCAGAAGGGAAGAAGACAGAAGGGGTCTGCTGCTGTTGCTCTGTGTTTTGCAAATGGGTCTGTGGGCAGGAAGGAGCCCCATGGCCCAGTTAAGAAATAGTGTTTCTACTCAGCCAGATGCCCTTAAGACGCGTCTGTTGACAGTGGGGAGGACAGTATATCGCAGAGGTGCAGCTGATGTTGCTGATCTTGGAGATGGACCAGAGCCCTCGGGCTAGGTGTGTCCAGGGTGTTGGGAAACCTTGGTCCCCTACCCTGATGCTTGTGTTCACCCTCACCTTCCAGGTCCTTGCAGTGGCCACGGACGCTACGTCTTCTGCAGCACTTCCTCACTAGGGATCATGTTCATCCCTTTGCTGAGTATCATCCTACTGTCAGTGGCACTGGCTGTGGGGCTTCCTGGCAACAGCTTTGTGGTGTGGAGCATCCTAGTAAAGATGCCAAAGCGCTCTGTCACTGCCTTGTTGGTGCTGAACTTGGCCCTGGCTGACTTGGCCGTATTGCTTACCGCCCCCTTTTTCCTCCACAACGTGGCCCGAGGCACCTGGGTGTTTGGACTAGCTGGCTGCCGCCTGTTTCACTATGTCTGTGGAGTCAGCATGTACGCCAGCGTCCTGCTGATCACGGCCATGAGTCTGGACCGCTCGCTGGCGGTGGCCCTCCCCTTTGTGTCCCAGAAGTTTCGTACCAAGGCTATTGCCTGGTGGGTGCTGGCAGGCATCTGGGTGATATCTCTTCTGCTGGCCACACCTGTCATCGTGTACCGCTCCGTGACCTTGGCACCGAACAACTGGAGCCTGGTGTGCTTTCCGAAGTACCCCAGCGATCGACTCAAGGCTTTCCATCTGCTCTTCGAGGCCTTCACCGGCTTCCTGCTGCCCTTCCTGGTGGTGGTGGCCAGCTACTCCGACATCTGCCGCAGGCTGCAGGCCCGGCGCTTCCGCCGCAGCCGCCGCATGGGCCGCCTAGTAGCGCTCATCATCCTGACCTTCGCTGTCTTCTGGCTGCCCTACCACGTGGTGAACCTGGCCGAGGTGGGCCGGCTGCTGTCTGGCGGGGGGGCGGGGCCGGTGGCCAACCGGCTGCTCCTGGCCCGCTACGTGTTTATCGCACTGGCCTTCCTGAGCAGCAGCGTGAACCCCGTGCTGTACGCGTGTGCCGGTGGCGGCCTTCTGCGCTCTGCCGGCGTGGGCTTCGTCGCCAAGCTGTTGGAGGCCACCGGCTCCGAGGCGTTCAGCACCCGCCGCGGGGGCAGCCTGGGCCAGACGGTGAGGGGCGCCCCCGCCACTCCCGAGACTGGCACCGGCGAGAGCCTCACTGTCTCCACTAACCCTCTCCAGTGAAGCGAATTGAACTAGGTCTGGGTGGTGGTGGTGGTGCTGCCGCTGTTGGTGGAAGGTCTGCTTTCCTCCTGGTCGAATCCCCCCACATTGGCCTGACCTGGTTCTGTACCCCCAGGAGGAGAAGGCCAGTGGGGTGGGGCGGAAGAGGAGGGAGGGGCGGGGCAGGTGAGGGCCGAATGAAAGCCTGGGGCAGCTTTGCTATTAAAACTGAAGCCACAAATTGGGTCAACCCTGTGTGTGGGGTGTGTGTATAATGGGATTAGGGGTGCTCCTGGGCACTCTTATGAGGATCCTTCTTAACAGGTGAGAGGCACATCCTTCCCGTGCTTTTCAGTTTGGGAAGGGACACAAAGATTCAGAAACCAGAATCCCCTTTCCCCACCCATTCTGAGGCAGGTGCCCAGCCCATCATACTTAGACCACAGGTCTTACAGACTCCTGAAGGAGCAGACGGAGGAAGGCCACCCATGTGGGCTTATCATGCCAGACGCCTTAAATCAGCAGATGATCTGAGAAAACAGCACTGCGCTGGGACCTTTACCCTGAAGCTTATGATAGGTATCACTGTTACTATGACTCCAACTTCCTGCCACTCATATTTGTCCTGTCAGTGGGTGACGTTCTAGGGCACTGCCTTCCCTCCCTTCATCTCCCAAGGAGCCCTCACTTGAGAACCAAGTCATCAGATCTTAGCCCCTGGAATTCTGCACATCAACATTCTGCCAGCCCCCCAAATACACTCTGAAGCAGGTTGAGGCTGAGGGCCCTCTGTGCCAGTCATCACTCTTAGGAAATTAAGATCCCCATAAGTGAGAGGGATGAGTCATTCTTTCCTAGGGTTGACTGTTTTAGAGAGCCTTGAACTGGGTCTGACTTGACAGCATTTTAGGAGGATGGTAGTAGAAATGGCAGCGGTGTGCTTCTTGAATCCCTCCCATAAACAAAGAAAGAGCAACTAGGAGAAAGACCAAAACTCCATGTGCAATATCTGTAATAAACCAAGGGTGTCAAGATACCTCCCACAGACTGCTAAATATGTGTGGGGAATAGGCTTAGGAATTTCCTGAGCTTGCACCTATGGGTTAACAAAGCCATAGGATGAAAGCATCCAAGATTAGGTAAACAGGGCAAAAGTGCCCCCCCACCCCCCCCCCCCCCCCCCCCCCCCCCCCGCCATAGAACAAAGGCATAGAGG